GCCAAACTAATCTGTTTCTCTGGAGATTTTTAGCATCTGCTTATGGTTTTGAAATTTCGATATTCTTTAGAGGTGAGTTTTAATATCACTTTTGTTGTTCTGAGAACTTGGTGGGACTGTTTGTGTGTGTGTTGGGGGGACTTTCTAATCTAAAGTTTGGTGTCCTTCATCTCTGGAGAGCTGTCTTAAACTGTTTGTTCTGATGATTTCCTCTATTTCTCTTTCTGGGACTCTTATTAATCAGATGATGGTCTTTTCAAACTGATCTTCTATATCACCTGTCTTTTCTCTCATATTTTTCAACTTCTGATGTTTTTTTTTCCCGAGTGATTTTCTTGACTTTATTTTTTCAGACCATCAATTGTATTTTTAATTTTGGTAATCACATTTTTAAAACCTGAAAGAATTTGTTCTAGGATTATTCTTCTTTTCATAGTACTCTTTTTTGTTTTATGAATGTGATATTTTCTTAAATCTCTCTAAACATACACATTAGAATTTGCAGACATTCTCTTCTGTTCCCTGAATTGTGTCTGTTTTCTTCAGGGTTACCATTTTGTTTGTTTATCTGGTATCTCCCTTTCAGTCTGTGGTTCTATCAATTGCCTGGTGATTCTTTGTTATTTTTAAAGAAATAGACTGGGTAGCTGGTGAGGTTTTTGTCCGCTGTTATGTGAGTAGGGCTGTTTTCCCAGGTGGTAGCAGTAGCTAACATTTATATACTATTTATCCATGTTCTAGGCACTGTCCTGTGCAGGTTAATTATATTAACTCAATCATCTCGACAACTCCTCTATGAAGTAGTTACCATGGTATTTCATTAAGTTTAATATTCCATCAATTGTAAGATGTAGCATTCTTTTATTTATTCCTAAAAAGATAAACAATGCTGTTGAAATATGACATGCCACAGATTATAATCGGATTCTGATTTGGGAGGCATTAAAAAAATCTTAGAATTGATGAAATAATACATTACTATTCCCATTTTACAGTTGAAGAAACCAAGACATAGAGAGATTAAGTAACTTGCCCCAGGTTACATAGTTTTATCTATAGCTGATTTTATATTTGAACTCAAGTGATTTGGCTTCAAAATTTCACCACTATGCCTAACTGCCTCTCCAGGGCTCCCTGGTGAATGAGGACTCAAATGAGACATAAGAAGGTTCTGAGTTGAGGGATAGGGTCTTTAGGGAGTTGAGTTAGGGAACTGGCTTTAATCTGAGGCACCAGAATTCATAAAGAAGCTTTGGCTTTCTCTGTAAGATTTGTTCTCTTCCATTAGAGAAGAGTGATCTGGGTTTTTCAAATTGATTGATTGATTGCCTGATACCTGTGCTAGGTGTAGTGGGCTGGGGTGTCAAGGGTACCAAGTGGTGCAGTTGAAGTCTGGGTTTTTCAAATTGGTTGATTGATTGCCTGATACCTGTGCTGGGGTGTCAAGGGTACCAAGTGGTGCAGTTGATCCCCATCAGACTTCCAGTCAATGGCGTGTCTCCTTCTCCCAGCCTCTGGGTCTTGGTGTTTAGATGGACTTCTAGCCTCAGGAGACCCTGTGGTAGATTCTTGGTGCTTCCTCTCTCTGGCTCATTTGTCTATATCATGTCTCATCTCCTTTTTGCCTTTCAGAAACATGTACAGCTCTCTCATCTGCTATGGATCCTGCCTCCCACTCTCTTCACTATTATGGTTTTATTCTTTTTTATACTCTCTTTTTTGGTGGAGTTTTGGAGGAATTAGGAGAAACGAGAGGCCCATCTTGAACTAGAAGTCCCTATACCTCTATTTTTAGTGAACACAATAGAAATTATAAAAGGATGACCACCGTAAGAGAAAATAAAATATTCACGTTATAGCTGGCAGTGGAAAAGCACTTATAAAGCCTTAAGAGCATGTTTGCTTAAAAGTTTCCTTCTCCTTCATAATTTTGACTTGCAGATGACTTAGACTTATTCTGGGCCCAACATAATCCTTTGGCGTTCCTGGTTCCACTGCCAACTCTTCCCTTAATCTCCTGAGTCTACATTGAACAGAGAGGAAGAGACCCAGTTCTCTTTTGGGACTAGGTTCTGAGTACCTAGCTAGCCAATAGATTATTAGTTTTTGAGTCAGGTGTCCTTTTCTGATCCAATCAACTGTGGCCTGGGGTTGGGCAGGGCCATGTAGGAAAAAACCTGATTGCTTAGACAACAGGACAGACTCTCTTGGAAGTGGGTGTGGGCAAGTCAGACAGTGAGTAGCATCTTCAATAAAAGGACCTTAAGGTGTGTTTTAGGATTCTGAATCGTCATCATCGTCATCATCATCATCATCATCATCATCATCATCCTCAATACACACACAGTTATATTCTATATACCATAGTTAATGAAGTAACAATGTCCACTAGTACATTTTAAAAGGAAATTTTTAACAGTTCTTGAAAGATGGTTAGGAAACACCATTTTTCATGATTCCACTTTATCTTCTCTTACTATTCTTTCTCTGGCATTTTTCGTGAGCTTTTGTTCCTTTGCCTACTTTGTTGACCATCAGTCCTATCCAGAGGTTCTGTCATCAGATGTATACACTCTAAAATATCTCATTCAGTCTTCTGCACTTTTATTGAATAAATGAATAAACAATGACTTTTAAATATTTATCTTAAATTCTGACATCCCAAGTTTCAAATATTATCCAGATGCCTGCTAAGATGTCCTACAGGTACCTCAAGTTTATGAATGAACTCAAATTTTCTTCTTTCTCTTTCTGCCCTCCATACATGTCCTCCCCTGACCCCCATTTCCTGTATAGGCAGATGATGCCACCTCTCTTCCAGTGCCACACTGGAAAAATAGGAGTTTCCCTTTCCCTCACTTTTGTCATCTAATCTGTTACCCAATTCTGGCCTATTTTGCTTCCTAAATATTTATAGATTGTGTTACCACTCCACCCCTATTAATACTGCTTTAGTTCGGGCTCTGTATGCTAAGGTTAAGAGCATGAACTTTGCAGCCAGACAGACTTGGGTTTAAATCCTGCCTCTCACACTCATTGTCTTTCAGTGCTAGGCAGCTACTCAACCATTTTCTAAACCACCGATCTTCAAACTTGGCTGCACATGGGAACCACCTGGGGAGCTTGAAAAAAGTATTGATGCTTGGTCCAACTCCCAGGATTCTGATTGCACTGGAATGGAGTGAGGCTTGGGTACTGGGAGCTTTAGAAGCCTCTGCCACCAAAATGAATGAATGAATGAATGAATGAATGAATAGCTATAAATAAATAATAAATTAAAAAAAGGTTCCAAGGTGGAGCCAAGATTTAAAAGCACTCTTTAAACCACAGCTCTCTCATCTGTAATACTGGGGTAACGACCCCATGGGAGTACTTGTAAGGGAATAGTCAGTAAAATGTGGCAAGCATATTAGTTATTGTTAGGCAACTCCTTATCATCCTTCCTCAGAACTTTTGCAATAGCCTCTAAATGAATTCTCTGCCTGCCTTACCAGCCTGTACTCTGATCCCAGAAGAAATAGAAAGTGAATCTGATCATGTCATTTCCTGCTTAAAACTCTTCAGTGGGTCCCCTGCTCTACTGGATAAAGTCCAAGCCTCTTACTGTACCTTCATGATTTTGCTCTTGCCTAGTCTATTAGCTTTGCTTCCCACCACTCCCTGCCTTTCAACAGTAGCACTACTTCGAGTTTATGCACAAAACCTCACTGTTTGTCACCCCAAAGCCTTGGCTCAGCTGATCCGTTTGCCTGGAATCTTCTGTTTGCTACTCCCTCTCAGTTGGCTTGGGCCCCATCTTTCTCTTTTTCTCCTTAATTTTTCTTAATTTAAAGGATAAATTCTTATTTATCCTTTGTCCTTCAAGACTGAACTCAGATATCATCTTCATTGGCATGTCTTCCCTGACCTCTGTGCAGACCTTGTTTTTACTATAACACATTGAAATGTTATTTGTGTCTCTCCCTTCCAGACTCTGAAGACAGGGCTTATTCTCTTGGTACAAAGTCCTCGAATTTTATTGAAACAAAATAGGTTCAGTGCTAAACTTGCTACACATATGAAGCTGTACTTTTATCTGCTTTAGTCCAAATTTATTTCCTTCTTCTCAGTATTCCTAAAGCACTTAGGAATTGTTTCATTCCTAACCAGTGTGTTGTGAGCATCTTAAGGACAGAAACCTTGTCTTTTTATTCTTTATAAGTTCCCACAAAGCATCCAGCACAGCAGTTTACTCATAGTGTTACTTAAAAATACTCATTGGTTGATGGAAGCACATAGGATTTGGAAGAATCAATTGAAAAAATTGCATGTAAAAAAAATGGAAGAATCTACTTTAAAAAACTGTAAAGATCTAGACCTGCGCCGTTCCACACAATAGCTGCTAATCACACTTCTTTTTTGAGCACTTGAAATGTGGCCAGTGCAATTAAAGAGCTGAATTTTAAGTTTCATTAAATTTTAATTTAGTTTAAAAACTGATATTTGATTTACTTGTTGGAAAACTCAATTATGTTTGGAAAAACTTGGATATATGAATCTACTTTTTAAAATGTAACCTCTGTGTAATCTAAATACAGTTCAAGATTTTCCAATGAAAAGTTAGCATCTGAATTGAGATGTGCCATGAAGTATAAATTAATACTGGATTTTGAAGACTTAGGTATAATAAAAAGAATGCAAAACATATCATTTATAATTTTATATCGATTAAATGTTATAATGATAATACATTGGATATATTGGCATAAATAAAATATATTACTAAAATGAATTTTACTTGATTTTACTACTAGAAAATTTAAAATTAATACATAGCTTGAATTATTTTTCTATTGGACAGAACTGATCCATTTTAATTCAAGGCTTTGTTTTTCAATGATCATTATGATGATGGGATTTAATCCTTCTCATTGTCTAAAACAGTTTTTAGTAACTAGTGGTGACTAATTTCACAGATGGTTAATGGAGTATTTCTTTTGAACTCTTTTCTGTTAATGCAGATCACAATCCACCTCCTCAGCCCAAGGTGGATAGCATTGGCCAGAACTATCCCCAGGAGGAAATAATACACAAGTTGGCCGTGCAGCTGAAAAACATTGGGGACAGCATTGATCATAGGATGGTTCAAGAGGTGAGACCTTTGTTTCTCCAGCAAGGGCCTGTCAGGTAGCAGAAGAGAACAGCTAGAACAATGGCTGCTAAGTGGCTGGGATGCTGAGGATTTAGCAGAACACATGGATTAATGTCTGGGTTATCAAACATTAGATCTGAAAATTGTGAACCTGACTTAAAGCCAGTATTTGATCTTGCACTTGCTGCTCAAACTGTGGTCCATGGACTAGGAGCCTCCACATCACTTGGCGGCTGGTCAGATGTGCAAAATCCTAGTCCACAATGCTGGAATCACAGTCTACCTTTTTACACATACCCCAGGGGATTTGTGTGCACACTAAAGTGTGAGAGACTTTGCTCCATATCCTTAAACTAGGATGCATATTAGAATGACCTGTGGAATTTTGAGAACTACAGAGGCCTGGGCCCTACCTTGAGGGATTCTGATTTAATTGGCATGAGGTGTGGCCTAAGCCAGACGTTGTAAAAGCGCCCCAGGTGAATTGAATGTTTAGTCAAGGAGAACCTCTGCCTTAGTGTAGTTATCCTCCTGAAGCAACCCAGAGGTATGATCTAAGCCCTACACCTGCCTTTTTCTTAGTTTCTCCTGATTATTATAAGAGATAATAAGGGAAAACAGGAAGGAATTATGATTACAGTTTGAAATCTTAGGGATGATGAAATCCACAGCCAACTTAGTTTTCCTCAGGAACAACCTATAGTCAGCAACAGAGAGAGAATGATCAACATGTAATAGGAGGGGTGGCTGCCCCTGAGGACCCAGCTTCTTGCCCTTAAATTCACCTGTTATGTGATGATTTCTTGTCCATCACTGCTGCCGCCACCACACTGACTTCAGGATTTGATCCAAATGTGGACAATACGCAGGCTTTCCCTCAAATAAATCATTTCCCAAGACAAAACACAGATGGAAGGCCCCAACAACAACACTACTAAAAACAAGAAGGAAACAAAGGCAAAATAAATACCAACTATCAAGTAAAACATTTGGTAGACCAATTTCCTTCAAGTAAATATCTATTGAGTGTCTATGGTATGCCAGGCTTAGTTCCAGGCAGTGGTAGCTAAAGCAGAGAGCAGGACAGAACATAAGCTTACTGTCCCGGAACTCATAATCCAGGAGGGAGACAGACAGTAAAGCAGACGAACCGATTAAGTAGTCTAGTCAGACAGGATGCTGACTCAGAGCCGAATTAGAAGATACTGAGTGATGGGAAGTGACTTTGGATGGGCAGTCAGGGAAGGCCTCTCTGGGGAGGTGATATTTGAGCAGAGACTGTAAATGAGAGAGAGAGGCTTGGGAATACCTGGGGGAAAAGTTTTCTAGATAGAGAGAATAGCGAATACAAAGCCCTTGGGACAGGAACAGGCTTAAGGAACAGCAAGGAGGCCAGAATGGCTGGAGTGGAGTGGTGTTGGCCTCAGTCTCAGAGGCGGGGGTAGATGTTTGGGTTTTACGCTAAGTATAAGGGAAGCTTCTGGAGAGGAAGAGCAGGAGAGTGCCATGAGCTGATTTACATTCAGAATGGAGACTGGCTGTGGTGCAGAGAATAGGCTGTATACAGGAGCCAGAGGGGCAGAGGAGACCCCCAAAGGCTGGGACCAGTGTCCCAGCAGTGGAGGTGGTAAGAAATGATCAGACTGAGGATGAATTTTGAAAGTAGAGCTTTCAGGACTGGCTGATGGATTGGATGTGAGGGGTGAGAGAAAAAGAATGCATTACTTCAGTGTTTTGACCTGAGCATCCGAATGGATGATAGTGCCATTTACAGAGATGGAGAAAGCTGGGAAGAACACATTTGGGGGAAAATACAGAGTTCTGTTTGGGACATGTAAGTCTGAAGTTCTTGTTAGGCATACAGATTGAGAAGTTGTGAAGCTGCGTAGTAGTTGTAAAAATCAGTCTAGAGTTCAGAGGAGACATTGAAACTCAAGATAAGAATTTGGATTATAAAGTGTTGCTTTCTTTCTGGGCTTGCAGGATCGATAACAACCTTGCTCCCAGCCCAACTCCATTTAGAAGATATAGTTTATGTATATCTTCTAAGTGGAGTTGGGCTGGGAGCAAGGTTTTTATGGGAGCAAGTTATGTAATAATAACTAGCACTTATTGAGGGCTTGCTATTTGCCGGGAGCCATGCTAAGTGTTTCACTTGTATTGTTTTATTTAATTCTTACAACCACCACGGAAGCTGGGACTATTACTATTCTCACTTGTCAAATGGGGAAATTGATGACTTAGAGAAGTCAAGTAACTTGTTTCACTTTTCACAGCTGGTCAGTTGCAGATTTGGGACTTGAACCCATGTCCACTGGTTCCAAAACACACACATCACTACAGTATTGTTTACTAATTGACCCCCTTTTTTCTCAGTAGCCACCTTTAGCCATCTGTTCTCTTTGACATCTGGACCGAAGAGCCAGAGGCCCAGAGAAAAGTGGGAGTGCCTGCCTTCCTGTCTCTATAAATTTTTCTGTATAGGACCCCTTTCAGAGAAGACCTCACCTGAAAGCTTTATCCTCTGGCCTCAATGGACCATATCTAACTACTACACTGGAAGCTTAACATACATAGAAGAGACACATATGGACTCACTGAATATTCAGCTGTGGTGTATGGAGTTAAATGCATTGGTTTTAGAGTCCCAATACTGGATCCAAAATCTGACTCACCACTATTTACTATGTGACGTTGGGCAAGTCACTTAACCTCCCTGGGTCTCATTTGTAATGTGGAGATTAATAAATAGTACCTACCTTATATGGTTATTGTGAAAATTAAATGAGACAATCTATGTCAGTCACTTAGAACAGAGCCTGACCCACAGAAAATGATTAATAAATGTTATCTATTTATCTAAAAGTTAATAATATTTTTTTATCTTTGCCTTTTTAATTTTTGGAGTTGAACACCTCTTTACTATGTATTGTTTTCTACAGCATACTCATGATATTTGTCATTTTCCCTTTTATACTACAGTTTCTTCTGTAGGAAAGTTTTCACCTATGACTGTATTTTATGAATTCCAAGAAAGTCCTTAGATTAACTTTTCTGCTTCTCGATCAGCTAACTCTGAATACTCATGGGTCCTTCTAATATCTTTCTCTGAAAAGGAGGACCAGAATAGGACAAATCACAACCACCTATTTTTTGTTTGCCTCTACCCAATCAAGAGGTCACTGCGCTGTGTAACCTTCTTTTTCATTTTGCCTCTTTTTCTTTCTTTTCTTTACCTTTTAAATTATAATTTACTTACAAGTCTTAAATTTACCTCTGCAGCTAAAAATATTGACACTTTCCATCTCTATGGATTTGCTTATTCTGGACATTTCATGTGAATGGAATAACATAATATGTGGCCTTTTGTGTCTGGCTTCTTTCACTTAGCATAATGTTTTTTTCAAGGTTCATCCATGTTGTCTCACATGTCAGTTCTTCTTCTTTTTTTTTTTTTGCTGAGTATTTTTTTTCCATTGAATGTGTATGTTACATTTGTTTGTTTATTCATCGGTTGATGGGCATTTGGGTTGTTTTCACTTTTTGGCTATTATGAATAACGATACTATGAACATGTGTGTACATGTTTTTTTGTAGATATGTGCTTTCAGTTCTTTTGGGTATATTCCTGGGTGTGGAATTGCTGTGTCATATGAGAACTCTACGTTTAACTTTTTGAGGAACATACAGACTCTTTTCCAAAGTGGCTACACCACTTTACTTGTGGCCCACCAGCGTTGTACAAGTTTCTCCAGTTGTACTGGAACTGTAGAGAAAAGTTCCAGTTTCTCCACATCCTTGTCAACATTCGTTATTTACTGTCTTTTTGACTGTAGCCAGCCTACTGGGTTTGAAGTGTCATCTCATTGTGGTGTTAATTTGCATTTCCCTGATGGCTAATGTTGTACATCTTTTCATGTGCTTATTGGTCATTAATATATCTCTTTGGAGAAATGTTTATTCAGATCCTTTCCCCATTTAAAAAATTGGGTTATTTGTCTTTTATTATTGAGTTGTAGGAGTTCTTTATATATTTTAGATAAAAGTTCCTTATCAGTATATTATTTGCAAATATTTTCTCTCATTCTATAGGTTGTCTTTTCACTTTCTAGATGATATTCTTTGAAGCACAAAAGTTTTTAATTTTGATATTCAGTTTATCTATTTTTTTGTTGTTGTTGCTAGCACTTTTGGTATCATATCTGAGAAACCATTGCCTAATCCAAAATCATGAAGATTTACAGCTATGTTCCTTCGAGGAGATTTGTAGTTTTAGCTCTTAAATTTAGGTCCTTGATTCATTTGGAGTTAAATTTTTTATGTGGCGTGAGTTAAAAGTCCATCTTCAATCTTTTGCATGTGAGTGTATCCAGTTGTCTGAGCACCATTTGTTGAAAAGACTATTCTTTCCTTTTTGAACGGCCTTAGTATCCTTGTCGAAAATCAATTGACTGTAAATGTCAGGATTTATTTCTGGACTCTCAATTCTATTCCATTGATCTATATGTCTATTCTTTTGCATGCCCTAGCTTTTCTGGCAGCATTTTATAAAACGGGCTTTGACCTGGACTTTTAAAGTTATCTTGTGCTGTACCACAAAATTGCATTTTAGAACACTTTTAAATAGACCACAGCACATTTTGAAAATAATTTTAAAAATTTTTTCTAAGTTTGGCTCTAAAATGCTGAAGGCTTTACTCTGCTGTTTCAAGGCTTAAATCAAACAACTTTAACAGAATTTCAAATCTGGCCTGGTCCATTTCTTTTATATATAGTCATCATTTATTCACCTTTTGTACTCTGTTTAATCAAGTGGTCACACTGATTCTCCAGATCACTTCTTGCTTTTGATATATTTGAAGAAACTTTTATTCTTTCTCTTAGAACGACCTAGCCAGGAGCTCACCAAGTTTTATTTTCATCTGCTGAATTGATTGTCCTTGAGCTGTCACATATCTTGCTTTCTTGTTCTTTTCATTTAAGCAATCGTTCTGTGTTTTCAAATAGGCCTTGATGCTCAAAATAACATCTCCTATTTTGCTATTAAGTTATATAGGGTTTTGATTCAAGGACCTGGCCTTTTATTTTTTAATCCAGAGCATGTAATTTTTCTAGATATAAAGTGTGTTTTAAAATAGTCTTTCCATCGCTTTTAGGATCTTAAATGTGTCTTTGAAATTTTGCTCTACAGGAAGGACTCTTTCCTTCTGGGTTCTAGAAATTGCCCCCCATCCCTATAGGACTAGGAGTGGCAACAACTCTGCTGTTACCAGCCCTGGGTATTGCACCACCCCCGCGGTCCCCTCCTCCCCTTTGTAGATAGTCTCTTAATTTAACGCTCCCTGAATTATCCTAATTTGAGTGTACCATCTGTTTTCTCTGAGACCCTGATTGATATAGTATTGGATAGGAAATTTTTTAGTTTGTTAGAAAGAGGGGAGGGAAACTAATATTTATTAAACAATTTCCTCCAGGTACTCTTTGAAAATACTCTTACATTTTTCACTTAATTCTTCTACTAACACTATCAATTAGCAATATAGGTATTTCAGGAAAAGCAGTCAAGATTCAGAGAGATTTGGCAACCTATCTAAGGTCATTCAGCAACTAAGTGACAAAACTGGAATTTAACTATATGAGCATCTGACTCAGTGCTCTATACATTTTCTTGTCTGCCTTGCTGGAAGAAAATTCATTCAATTTTCCTGATATCAATTATAAAAGGGAAAAAATCCTTTAGTGATTCCCAGTTACAAAGTCTAAATTCCGTAACCTGCTGCTAATGATTTATCTTTCATTCATTCATTCAATTAATATTTATTGAGTACTTACTGTGTGTCAGGCTCTGTTTCAGGCAGTGATCAAAAGTGACAAAACTCTCTGGTCTCATTTTTTAAAAGGGAAACAAATAACAAATGAAAGAAAAAGAAAGAAAGAAAAAGAAAGAAAGAAAGATGGAAGGAAGGAAGGAAGGAAGGAAGGAAGGAAGGAAGGAAGGAAGGAAAGAGAGAAAAAGAAAGAAAGAAAGAAAAGGAAGGGAAGGAGGGAGGAAGGGAGAGAGGGAGAGAGGGAGGGAGGGAGGGAGAGAGGAAGGAAGGAAGGAAGGAAAGAAGGAAGGAAGGAAAGAAGGAAAAGAAATTTATGGGGTCTGGTTCAGGCAAGACAGTATCTAGATCAGTGTTGTCTAATAGAACTTTCTGTGACAATGTAGTTTATCAGACAGTAATAAATATTTTGAAGAAAAATAAAGCAAGGAAAGGAATAAGGAGTGTTGAGGATGTGCAATTTTAAGTAGAAGAGTTAAGGGAAGGCTTCACTGAGACTGTGACTTCTGAGCAAACCTTGATACGGTGTGGGAGGAACTTGTGGATATCTGGGAGAGAGCAAGTGGAGGCAGGCATGTTTGAAGAATAGTGAGGAGGCCAGTATGGAAGAAGCCGAGTAACAGAGAAGTAGTAGAAGATAGGGTCAGAGAGGTGGGTGGGAGGTAGATTTGTTAGGGCCTTAAGGTCACTGTTAAAGACTTTAGAGTGAGTGAGGCTGAGCCACTGGAGACCACTGAGCAGAGGAGCCACATTTCAACAGTCAACTGAGGCTGCTGTGCTGAGATTAGACCGCTGAAGGAGGGGCCATTTGTATCTGACCCTCAGCCTCCTTCTGATGTTCCCACATAAACAGTGGTGTTTACTTACAGCTCCTCAAACCTGCCGTGCTCTTTGTCACTTCCAACTTTGCTCATATTCACCGCCCTCTTCATCCATTTAAGACTTACTAATTCTTCCAACTCCAAAGCAAACTTCCTTGCCTCTGAGAGGACTAAGAAAGTGCTCTGGAAAGCCAGAGGAAGATTATCAGCCTTGAAAAGAGAGCCCCCATTTGCTGATGGTTAAGATGGGAAAACATGTCCAGAAGAAAACTTCTCACGGTAGCGTGGAGGATGTGTACATTACAGAACAGATCAAAATGCTCTCCTTCAGCTCATAGTTTATAATGCAGCCCAAGAAGCTTGTGATATTGATTGAATTACTATTAATATTGAATTTCTAACTTTGGAATATTCTATTGCCTTAAAAAATCTCTCTCTCTCAACAGGATCTGCAACAGGAAGGCAGAGATGCACTGGCTCATTTTGTCTTAGTTTTCTTTGGAGGAGTTCATGTGCTGCTGCGCTTTCTCTGGAATAACCATTTGATGTAAAAAGAATGTCAATGTCAAGTTCTGTTTTCCTTCTGCCCTCTGAGAAACACGAATCCCACCTGGACAGATAGGAAGAAGACACTTTTCATCTCCCTCTCTTTTTACCCGTCACTGTTCGTTTTTACCTGGTTAGTTGCAGAACTGCGGACTCACTGACCATTATTCTCTTCAGAGGAACCGGCTATGAACGTCTGCGATTGCCTCCTGGTAGAGCCCAAGGTGTACTTAGGAACCCAGGAGGCACTGTGGGTGGTCCCAGTGCTCCC